ACTGAGGAGGTGGTGGTGGGAACCCCCAAATTTGTAGTCAACTGGGCAAAGTGAGAGTAGCTTGGGAACCCCATTTGCAGCTGGCATCTGCAGTGGGGGCAGTCTTGTGGGACTGAGCCCTTAGCCTGTGGAGTCTGCACTAACTCTGGGAGTCAAGGTCAGAAGTGAATTGAATTGTTGGACATCCAGTTGTTGTTGGAGAATGGAGAATTAGTGTGGAAAAATAAGTATTTGGTGTTAGAAAAACAAACAAACAAAAAAACAGTGGTGTCAGAAAAAAAACACCATAGAAGAGAAGGGACGTGTCCATGATACACAGTGATTTAGTTATGGAGCCTGATTTCTAAGGTCCTGGTCTGACTCCAAATCTACCGTCTTTCCATCACATCAGACAGATTGCTTTATCCTTGGGTGGCAGGGATTTCATACTTTCTGGGAGTAAATGGAGCATGTCCTCTGCTTGCCACTTGGCACATAGTGTTTGCTGAATGAATGCTGAATAAATGAATAGGTACAGCCCCAAAATGCCTGCACTTAGAGCTGCACGAAGACAATATCTGGTGTAGTTTTGATTGGCAGCAGGGAAGATTCAGCTTATCAGCTCATTGTTGGCACAAGGGGCATTCTATGGGAAGGGGAGAAAATGGAGACTTAGTAGCTTTTTTTTTTTTTTTGGTGAGAGAGATTGGCCCTGAGCTGTTGCCCATCTTCCTCTTTTTTCTTTCCTCCCTAAAGCCCCAGTACATAGTTGTATATCCTAGTTGTAGGTCATTCTAGCTCTTCTATGTGGGACGCCTCCACAGCATGGCCTGAAGAGGAGTGCATAGATCTGTGTCCAGGATCCGAATCAGCAAACCCGGGGCTACCAAAGCGGAGCATGCAAACTTAATCACTTGGCCACAGGGCTGGCCCCTCAGTAGTGTTCTTGGTTGATCAGAACCATCCCATCAGATTTAGAGAGCCCAAGAATAGGTCATTTCCAGCATCTTCTGGAAGTTCAGATGACGCTAAAGTAAACTCACTAAGACTCCACCAAGCAGAAACCCTAAAGTTTCCTAAATCATCCTCATGATTTTTGCCATACCTGCACCCTATCTTTACTATTACTTATTCAATATTCTTCTTTAATTAAATTTCCTTGATGATATATCATCACCATAAATGGAAAACCAGTCTCATTTGTCATAAATAGAAGATAACTATAAAATAGAAATAAATATAGTTTTGTCCTCATATTGCTGAACTGATCTCGTTGAACTGCTGAACTGCTGATGTGTCCCACACTTGAGAAATGCTGCCCTAGAGGAGGGTTCTTTTTTTTTTTTTTGAGGAAGATTAGCCCTGAGCTAACATCTGTGCCCATCTTCCTCTATTTTATATGTGGGACAGCATGGCTTGACAAGCGGTGCATAGGTCCTCACCCAGGATCCGAACCAGTGAACCCTGGGCCACCAAAGTGAAACTTGTGAACTTAACTGCTGCACCACGGGGCTGGCCCTTAGAGGAGTGTTCTTAAAGGGGGCCCATGGATGGATTTCAGAGGTTTCACAAGCCCTCTGGAATCATGCATAAAATGTGTGTTGCACTCACAGGCATTTTTCCAGGGAGAAGATCTATAGCTTTCATCAGATTCACAAAGGGGTTCAGAACCCAAGGAAAATAAAGAACAATTGCTCTAGGGGCCAGCCCCGTGGCTGAATGGTTAAGTTTGTGCACTCCGCTTTGGCGGCCCAGGGTTTCACTGGTTCAAATCCTGGACACAGACACGGCACTGCTCATCAGGCCATGCTGAGGCGGCGTCCCGCATGTCACAACGAGAAGGACTCACAACAAAATATACAACTATAAACTGGGGGGATTTGGGGAGAAAAAGCAGAAAAAGAAATTGCTCTAGAATACCCCAGGCTCCTGGAATGAATGTAAGATTCCTTCACCAGGTCCCACTGAATTGGCCTATCTGGGGTTCCAGAGCATTACATATCTAGGCAACTCAATCTATTCCACTCCTAGTGGCTAAATGTGCTTGAAAACCCTTCTGAGCCTGAAAACATGCATTTCCTATTCTGACCACGGGAAATCATCTTGGGGGAGGCACAATTTCTGAGAGCATAGGCTTTAGAATCAGACAGACCTGGAAAAAACCTCAGTTGTGTGACCTCTTACTAGTTAGTTAATCTCTCAGAAGGGCAGGTTCTTGATTTTTAAATGGAAATAATTCCTTCATTATAGGGTGGTGGCAAGGATTATATTAAACAAGGCATCTAAAGACCTAGCCAAGTTCCAAAAAAAGGTAGCTATTGCTGTTGTGTACTGAGACCTTACCGTGTGCCAGGCATTTGGGACACATGATCTCACTGACCTCTCACAACTCTATGAGGGGGGTTTCAAGAACAGCTGGTCTCTCCATTACACAGATGAAGAAAATGAGGTTTGGAGAGGTAAAATCCCTTGCCTAAAATCACACTTCTAGGAAATGATAGAGCTGGAATTTGAGCTCTGGTCTGTCTGATTCCACAGTCCCACATAGTAGTTGGAACCTCTGAGTTGCCCCGCTTCCCCAGACAAAGGGAGCTGATGCATTTTCCTGGAGACTCTAAACATCCCTGGCCTCTGGCAAGAGTACCCTAAATATATGTTGGATGGATGGATGGATGGATGGATGGATGGATGGATGAAAGGATGGATATTTCAAGCTAATTCAGCATTGCTTCCTCTCAAACTTGACCCTAGATTAGTCATTGACTTTCTTGATCTTCTCTGGACAAAATACCTTGTACCTTAGCCATCAGATTTTCCCAGGGCCTTCAGAAAACTCCCTGGAATTGTTTGTAAGCAGGCTGAGGGATTCCTCGCAAGGCTTGGAGCACTAGCCCCCCACAAACAGCCTAGAAATAACCACAGCCTGCTCCACCTCCACCCCACCACTGGCCCAGGATTGCGCTGCGCCCAGCCCTGACCAGCAATTACTTTTCAAGATTTTCTGGGACCTCAAGCCCTTTCTTGGACCATGAGTTCTGTCACCAAACTAGCAGCTCCAGCCTTCCCTTATCTGAAAGGAAGTGTGAAATGTGACCTTGCAACCCCCAGAGTTGATTCAAGAAAGGAGGGGCTCCCCAGAAAGGAGGGGCTCAATGGGAGAGTGCACAAGGCCTAGGTCCGAATCCAGAAGCTTCCTCCCCACAGAGAAGGGCTGGCACTAGCCTGGGGTTGGCAGGGGAACTGAGCTTTGGAGCCAAGTACTATACTGCAGTGCAGGGAGAGTGAGGTGAGAGGCTGGGACAACTCGGGAAGAAAAATCTCCCCTCTGGCCAATAGCCAAGCCTCAACTGAGTAGACAGACACCTCTGAAGGCTCATTGCTCAGCCTTCTGTCCATAGGGGCAGCAGATATATTCAGGCACATGCAGAGCCCAAGCAGGCCCCCTCAGCTCCCAGTCAGTGGGCAGAGCAACCCAGAGCCGAGGCTAAAAGTACAGACTTTGAGGCCAGGGTGTGCATCCTGACTCTGCCCCTCCTAAGGCATGTGACCTTTGGTAAGCGAGTCCACCTCTCTTTTGTAAAGATAGGATTGCAATAGTCCTTGCTTCTCAGGGACAATTTGGAGATTGAGATGTTGCACATAAAGTATGTAGTGCAGGACTTGGCACATGGCAAAAGTCAATGATGCTAGCTACCAATTAGCATGCATGTTACCCTAAATCAGGAGTTTTCAACCTTGGCACTAAGCTTTCGGGCCAGAAAGTTTTTTGTTGTGAAGGCCCATCTTTTGCATTGGAGGATATTTAACAGCATCCCTAGCTTCTACCCACTAGATGCCAATTGCACCTCATGCCCACTTGTCAATCAAAAATGTCTGCAGACAGCGCCAAACAGCCCCTGGAGGGTGAAATCACCCCCTCTGGAGAGCCATTGCCCTAAAAAATCTAGACTGAGTCTGAATGTGACAGATGCCAAACTCACAGCCCCATGTAAAGACCACAAGAGAGGCAGGCCTACTTACAGACACAAGGATGGGAGGTCCAACACTTATAGAACAAGCTCCCTCCAATGTGGACAAAGAGGCAGGACGTGAGTCTGCTCTAGAAGCTGAGTCCCCTTTGACTCACTAGGCAACCTCGGTGTCACTCTTTAATTAGATGCAAAGTGTCCCTGAGTTAAATCTCAGTTATTCTAGGGCTCCAGACAAAGGGACAGGTAGTTGGTATCTAATTTCTGGCATCTCCACTCTTAATCACTGACTAGGAGAAAACCTGACTCTTTGGAACTCAGAAGTTCATTCAGAGTTTCATTCACGATTGCTGAAAGATTTTTGAGAGAGAACTAGGTGTCACTCACTGTTCCAGGTGCTCAGGATTGTGATATTGTGATTGATAATAAGCAATATATATTATGGGGGCCGGGCCAGTGGCTAGCAGTTAAGACTTCTGCGGCCCAGGGTTTGCCGGTTCAGATCCCAGACACGGACCTACACACTGCTTAACAAGCCATGCTGTGGCAGGCATCCCACTTATAAAATAGAGGAAGATGGGCATGGATGTTAACTCAGGGCCAATCTTCCTCAGCAAAAAGAGGAGGATTGGCAGTGGATGTTACCTCAGGGCTAATCTTCCTTAAAAAAAAAAAAAGAAATATATATATTTGGTCTTCGTCCTGGTTCCTGGTACACAGCTCCCAAAACCCTTGGAATTTCCTGAGTGATAAGAGCAAGGAGAGCATCTTTTGTCATAGTATTTAGTCTCTTTTCCTCAGTTCCTAAAATCCCTTCATAGCCATTAAGGTGAAATGGGTGTTTTTGTTTGTTTGTTTGTTTGTTTGTTTGTTTGTTTTTAAAGATTTTATTTTTTCCTTTTTCTCCCCAAAGCCCCCCGGTACATAGTTGTGTATTCTTCGTTGTGGGTTCTTCTAGTTGTGGCACGTGGGACGCTGCCTCAGCGTGGTCTGATGAGCAGTGCCATGTCCGCGCCCAGGATTCGAACTGACGAAACACTGGCCCGCCTGCAGCGGAGCGCGCGAACTTAACCACTCGGCCACGGGGCCAGCCCCGAAATGGGTGTTTTTTACTCATAACAAGCCCCTTTCTACCACAACTGGGTTTACGTTAATAATGTGACTTTTGGAAAGCCTCTAAGGATGAGAGCTGGTTGCCAGTGGAACCAATCATGTGATTAGAGGGTTGGAACTTTCAGTCCCACCCCTGACCTCCGGAGAGGGAAGAGGGGCTGGAGACTGAGTTCAATCACCAATGGCCAGTGACTTAATCAATCATACCTACGTCATGAAGCCTCCAAAAAAACCTCCAAAGAACAGGGTGCAGAGAGCTTCCAGGTTGGTGAACACGTGGAGATGTGGGGAGACTGGCATGCTTGGAGAGGGCCTGGAAGCTCTGTGCCCTTTCACATACCTTGCCCTATGCATCTCTTCCATCTGGCTGTTCCTGAGTTATATCCTTTCATAGTAAACTGGTGATCTAGTAAGTAAAATGTTTCTCTGAGTTCTGTGGGTTGCTCTAGCAAATTAATTGAACCCAAGGAGGGCATCGAGGAGCCTCTAATTTATAGACAGTTGATCAGAAGCACAGGTAACAAGCTGGGCTTGTGACTGGCATCTGAAATGGAGTGAGTGGGGCAGTCTTGTAGGACTGAACCCTTAACCTATAGAATCTGATGCTATCTCTGGGTACATAGTGGCAGAATTGAGGTGAACTGTAGGACACTCAGCTGGTGTCCAGAGCATTACTTGTTGGTATGAGGGAAAACCCCTCTTCCCCACACATAGTGATTGGTGACCACAACCCTATTAGGGATGCACAAGAGAACAAAACAGACAGAGTCCCTTCTTCATGGAATTTATATTCTAGTAGGAGAATAAAGATAATAAGCAAAAATATGTCAGACCCTGATAAGTGCAATGGATAAAAATTAAGTAGAATAAGAGAACCAAGGGTGACCGGGGTGGGGGGAATGGGGGCGAAGCAGTGGGCAGGTCTTATTTCTGGGCAGGCCTCTCTGGGCGGATGCCGTTTGAGCCAAGACTTGATGACCTGGCTACCAGGTGGAGGATAGGGTATGGGGAAGCTGGTGGGAGCAGACAGTCAGTTAGAGGCTGTTGCAACAGTCCAGGCAAGAGGTGATGGTGGCTTGGACCAGGCAGAGGTAAGATGAGAGGTGGCTGGATTCTTTTTTTTTTTTTAAGGAAGATTAGGCCAGAGCTAACATCTGCTGCCAATCCTCCTCTTTTTGCTGAGGAAGACTGGCCCTGAGCTAACATCCATGCTCATCTTCATCTACTTTTTTATATGTGGGACGCCTGCCACAGCGTGGCTTGCCAAGCAGTGCCATATCCACACCTGGGATCCGAACCAGTGAACCCTGGGCTGCCAAAGCGGAATATGTGAATTTAACCGCTGTGCCACCGGGCCAGCCCTGTGGTTGGAGTCTTGATATCTTCTGAAGGTGGAGCTGACAGATTTGCTGATTAATTGAAGGTAAGGTGCAAGGGAAAGAGAGGAGTCAAGCATGACTCCAAGACCTGTGGCCTACACAATGAGAAGAATAGATTGGGTTGAGGAAGGCTGGCCAAAACAGAAACAAAAAGTTTTGTTTCTGTTTTGGCCATGTTAGGTTTGAGATGCCTATTAGACGTTCCAAGTGGAGGTGTCAGATATGCAGTTGGATATATGAGTTCTGGGAAGAGGTCCAGGTTAGAGCTATAATTTGGGGAGTCATCAGATCATAGATGACATTTAAAGCCATGGGACTGGATGAGATCACCACTGAGGGAGGAGTACGTCTAGATGGAAGAGGTAATGCTTATTCAGCTGTCAGCATTCACTGAGCCTTTACTCAGAGGGCCAGGCCCTGAGCTAGGTGCTAGGTACAGAGATGTACATCCTTTGGCACTTGCCCAAGAGACGCTCCATTACTTATTTAATTTTTCCTGCCTAAGTGCTTTGGCCACTTAGAGGATAAATACTGAGAGTTCCTGCCCTGCCTCTTAGTCACTTATTCACTGTTTCAACACATATCATTGAGCACCTACTCAGTACAAGGCCCCCATCTAGGCACTAGGGACATTAAAGTGAGATATGGCTCCCATCCTAATGGAGTTTATATTTTGTGTGTGGAGGAGGTGGGCATTGAACAAGATGCACACAATGATGTGATTACAGTTGTGGCAAATGAAATGATAGGGAAGGTGGGCTGGTATGAGAGCTTTTTTATTTTTTTATTTTTTTATTTTTTTTGAGGAAGATTAGCCCTCAGCTAAACTACTGCCAATCTTCCTCTTTTTGCTGAGGAAGACTGGCCCTGAGCTAACATCCATGCCCATCTTCCTCCACTTTATACATGGGATGCCTACCACAGCATAGCTTTTGCCAGGTGGTGTCATGTCTGCACCCGGGATCCGAATCAGCAAACCCCAGGCAGCCAAGAAGCAGAACGTATGAACTTAACCGCTGTGCCATGGGGCCAGCCCCAGTAGGAGAGCTTTTAATGGGGGCACTGCCCTAGCCTGGGAGGCAGAGAAGGCTTTCCTGGAAAGTCACATTTGAGCAGCAATCTAAAGGAGTAGGAACCTAGGCTAAAGGGAAATTCAGGGAGCTTCTCAGGTGGAAGGAACAGCATACTCAAAGGCCTGAAGACTGGAAGGAGGTTGACAGCTGAAGGAAGAACAGCTTGGCTCCACAAAAGTGATCTGGGGGAGGAGAGATGAGGCTGGAGGGGTGGGCAGCAGCCAGACCTTCAGGGCCTTGTGAGCCTGGTTAAGACACATAGACTCATCCTGAGGCCACCAGTGGCCCTGAAAGGCTACAGATGAGGATCACATGATCAGAGGGTCACTGAGGAGAGTGGGCCAAGGGGGCCCAGTGCGGCAGCTGGGACACCAGTGAGGAAGTTCTTGAGTGTTGCCCCTTTGCCTCAGTCTCTCAGTTCCTCCATTTTAAACACGTTTGCAGAGGCCCAGTTCTCTCCAGGGCAGGGGGTTATCCTTCTCTCTCCGTAAGAGCTGAACCCTTGGTACCTCCAAACTTGTCATCTGGGCATCTCAAAGTCAGAGCTTAAGGCTGGAACATGAAAATCTGTTTCTTCCAGGAGGCACATCCCCCTAGAAGCTCCAAGATATTATTTAATCAGCAGGGGTGCCAGGTGGCTCTGGCAAGAGCCTCTGTGACTATTTTCTATCTGAGTTCATATAAATCACCCTCCTGGATTTATGGGCCCTTTACCACCAGGCTATAAAGTAAAATAATGCAATTCGTGCAGCCAACTGAGGCTGTTCTCAGTGTCAATGTCACAGCCATTACATATGGGAAATATTTACAGAGTTTTTAACCAATTGGTTTTCTTTCCTGACATCCATTTTATATTAAAAATTATAAAAATAATATGTACACAGTAGAAGATACAGAAGAACACAAAGAATAGATTCTAAATATTAACTGTATGGAGAGAACAATTCTTAATATTTTGCCCTAAATACATCGAGTCTTTTTTCTATGCATATGTATATATATGTATGATACCTATATCGTATACCTATACCATATATATGACACCTATTACACTGTATGTATCATTTTCATTACCTGCTTGTCCATGTCTTTAAAAAGCCTTCTACAACATAATTTTTCAATAGCTCCTTAATAGTCCATAACTTTTTGAAACAATCCCTTATCATTGGACATGGGTTGTTTCCAATTCTTCAATATTGTAACAATGTTTTGTTCTGATGAACATTCTTCAAAGTTAAAAATAATCTTTATTTTATTCCACTTTCAGAAGTAATAGGTACTCATCATATAAAAGTCAAACACTGCAGAAATTTAGAATCTGGAAAAGAAAGTTTCTGGTAATCTTGCAACTCAAAGATAACAACTGTTAAAATTAGATTTTTTTTTAATGCATATACTGTAATCGTTTTTTTCTTTCTTTTTACCAAAATGGGATGATTCTACATTTTTCCTGTCACAACATATAGATCTACTTTATTTTTTAATGCAGTTCTCTTCATTCCCACCATCACCTCTACCCATCCAACCACCCACCCACCCACCCCGCTCTGTATGCACGCACTCTGCCTCCCCTCCAGTTATCAGACATGAACCGTTCATGCTCCTGTCTAAGGCCATATCCTCGGCACTGAATCCATCTCCTCTCACTCCCGTGATTGTCTCTTCTCCCTCTCTTGCATCATCAATTTCCCATCTACTGGATTGTTCCCATCAGTGTACAGACCTGCTGCAATGTTCTCCATCTTTAAAAAATGCCTCCCTTGACTATACATTCTCCTCAGCTCTCCTCCAAAGAGTTGTCTGTACTCACTGTTTCCAATTCAGAACCGTGAGAAATAAATTTCTGTTGTTTACAAGCCACCCAGTATATGGTGTTTTGTTATAGCAGCCTGAACAGACTAAGACACCCCCATTCTCTCTTCAATTCATTCCACCAAAACAGCTTATCAAGGTCACCAGTGACTGCCATGCTGCTAAATCCAGTGGCCAGTTCTCAGCACTCTCCATTGATGTATTTGTCACAGTTGCTCTCCTCCTCTCTGAAGTGCACTCTTCGCTTGGCTTCCAGGACCCCCAGGACTCCACCAGTCTTCTCCTATCTCACTGGCTGCTCCTCCTTAGCTTCATCTGCTTGTTCCACCTCTTCTCCGTGACCTCTAAGGAAGGAGTGTCCCAGACCTCAGACTCCGGGCCACTTCTCATGGTCTCCATTTTTATGACTTTAAATACCATCTCCATGCTGATGACTCCTGTCTTAGTCTGTTCAGGCTGCTATGACAGAATACCATAGACTGGCTGGCTTATAAGCAACAGAAATTTGGGGCCAGCCTAGTGGCGCAGCAGTTAAGTTCACATGCTCCGCTTTAGCGGCCTGGGGTTCGCCAGTTCAGATCCTGGGTGCAGACCTATGCACTGCTTCTCAAGCCATGCTGTGGCAGGCATCCCACATAGAAAGTAGAGGAAGACGGGCACAGATGTTAGCTCAGGGCCAGTCTTCCTCAGCAAAAAGAGGAGGATTGGCAGCAGATGTTAGCTCTGGGATAATTTTCCTCAAAAAAATAATAAAAAATAAAAATAAATAAACAACAGAAATTTATTCCCCACAGTTCTGGAGGCTGGAAGACCAAGATCAGGTGCCAGCATGGTCAGGTTGTGGTGAGGGCCCACTTCCTGGTTCATAGACTTCCATCTTCTCACTGTGTCCTCACAGGGTGGAAGGGGCGAGGGTGCTCTCTGAGGCCTCTTTTTTTGGTGAGGAAAATTCTCCCTGAGCTAACATCTGTTGCCAATCTTCCTCTTTTTTGCTTGAGGAAGACTAGCCTTGAGCTAACATCCATGCCAATCTTCCTCTATTTTGTATGTGGGTCGCTGCCACAGCATGGCTGACAAGTGGTGTAGGTCCGCACCTGGGATCCAAACCTGTGAACCCAGGCCACCAAATTGGAGCGCATGAACTTAATCACCATGCCACAGGGCTGGCCCTTCTGAGGCCTCTTTTATAAAAGTCCTAATCCTATTCATGAGGGTTCTACCCTTATGACGTAATCACCTCCCAAAGCCCTACTTCCTAATACTGTCACATTGGGGGTTAGGTTTCAACACATGAATTTTGGGGGCTATATAAACATTCAGTCTATAGGAACCCCCAAATTTGTAGCCAGCCAGGAAGAAGTGTGGGTAGACTGGGATCCCTATTTGCAGTTGGCATCTGAATGAGGGTAAGTCTTGTGGGACTAAGCCCTTAACCTGTGGGGGTCTGCACTAACTCTGGGTGTCAGAATCGAATTGTTGGACACTCAGTTAGTGTTGGAGAACTGATACAGGAAAATGACACATTTCGTGCCAGAGGTGATATCAAAAAAGAGACACCACAGGAAGTCACTGAGTATTAGCACAGTGCTAGATATAGAGACTTCAATAAATATAAAAATTATAAGCCACAAATAGAGAAAAAAAAGACGTGAATAAATGGAAAGTGATACCAAGTTTCTGGATGGGAAGGCCAAATATAGCAAGAATGAAAAAAATTTCCCCATGTAAATTTACAGATTTAACATCATTCCAATTAAAATACCAGCAGGATGCCATATAGAACTTGATAAAAAGATTCTGGAATGTGCTTAGACAAATCAACCAGCAAAAATACTGAGGGAATGAAAGGAGCAACAGGGGACAACTAGGCCTTTCAGAGGTACAAACTGGGAGAAAAGTTCTAGACTTGGGTCACACAGTTCTTGGCACCACTGAATACCAACTCCTTAAGTCAAGGACCTCAAGGCCAAGGAGGGTTTGGTCAGGCAAAAGATTGGGGAGGCAGAGGTGGAGAGAGAATCAATGTTCCAAGGAAAAGACCTGCAAAGACCACTAGTCTTCAGACACAGCAGATCCTAGAGAAGTGGGACATGAGGAGAGGCTGGTGAGGCAGATAATAAAGGGCCAAGATAAAGGTGTGGAGATGAGGATCTCTCCAAGGGGGCAGACACTGTCTCCTACACTGCTGTGACCCTAGCATCTAGCTCAGCGCACACAGTAGACATTCCATAGATATCTTGGAGATCCTTCCATACCTGCACATATGGACTTGGTCTTTTGAATGTCTGCATAGTATTCAGAACTGTGCATTTCTCATTTAACCAGTCTCCTCTGGAGGAACCTTGAGGTTGCTTCCAGGTTTTTTTGGAATCATAGTTATTATTAATAAACATCCTAGCATTTTGAATACAGCTCCCCCTGCGCCTTCTTCCTCAGGCCCAGGAGGGATCATTGGATTTTTGTTTGGTCCTGTTCTGCTCTCCTTCTGGCTTGCAAACAAGCACCCCTTTGCTATTCCCAGCTCCCCTTGGAGACTGTGACACTATACTCCCCTCAGGCTCTCCCCTCCCCCCAGCCTGAACCTCTCATCTTCTTTACAAGCATCTTATTCATCAGGGATGTACAATAAACATTTGTACGGTAAAGGCAATCTCAAACTGATTTCCATTGAGCTGCTGAAATACTTAGGACTTACATGTATAATCTAACCCCGCCAGGCTCTGATTTACATCAGGGCATCTCACTCTAAGTCACTTGTGGCTCTAGAGTGAGAAAGAACACCCCTGCCCCCCACCCCATGCCCTGACTGTGCAATTTAGCTTCCTTGAAGCACCAAGCTCTTTTCTGTCCTCTCAGTTTTCTTTGCACATGCTTTTCCTTCTGCCTGGAACGCTTTTCTTTTCCTCCTCATTCACCTGGCTAACACCAGCTTCTTCTTCAGGTCTCAGCTTAGAAGCCTCTCCCTCCAGGAAGTCTTCCCTGAACACCCCACTCCAGTCTGGCTTGAGAGCTGCAGGAGCCCCGTTTTTCTCATAGCACATATCTCACTTCGTTGTAGTCGCCGTTTTAGTTGTCTGTGGATGGTGTGAGGGCAGAGTTTGGGTCCTGCTCACCATCGTATCCCCAGCGCTCAACACAGAGCCAGGCAGTTCTGTGGCTTAATAAATATCAGTTGAATGAATGAATAAATGTCAAGTGGGCAAGGAGTGGAGAAGTCACCAAAGTCCCAGATGCCATGTACACAACCCTGGGCTCTTAGAGTTGGAGTTGAAGCATTCCATGAGGGAAAAAACCTGGTCTCCTGCAGGCAACTTCAAGGAGTGTGCCACGACACCACAAACTGGCAGCCAGTGAGAAGGATGGAATAACAAAAGAAACAGCCAGTGAGAAGGATGGAATAACAAAAGAAACGGGTCCCCATCTGCCTAGCTCCAGGGAAGGTGTGTCAATGTGACATTCAGAGGAGCCCTGCCCATGTGCTGACTGAGGGGGAGAGCCAGCCTCAGCCAGAGAGAAGGAAGTTCAGCTACCGTGCATGTGTTACACTGGGGGATGTGTGCCTTAGAAGCTTCTTGGCTCTCTGTTCATTTTTTCCACTTTTTAAAAATCTCCAGATATTTCCTATATTTGTTTTTTTGACCTTTAAGGAATGTCTTTACTTTTGAGGTGCTGTTACCAAATTATATTGACACAGTTCAGTAAAAATCTGCTTAGTACAAAATTGATTTGAGTCCAAAAAACATTGGGATTCTATTAAATAAATGCATTCTCTTGCTGCATCAAAAAACATTACTAGCACTGTCATTAATCATTTCGCAACCCTTTGCTCGTATTTCTGGTTTACTTTGCCGTAAACTAAGTTTCAAAGGTATGTGACAGAGTAGAAAATATTTAGGGAAAAGTTCTGGGTTGAGGGTAAGGAATTTGGGGCTTAGAAAATAAAATGGTGAATTTGAGGAGCCCATTTGCCATTGTGTACTTCATTTCCCCTTTTCTGGACCTAGGACAACTCTCTCTTTAAGTACTAGTGGATAAAATCACTAGTGTTTAGGAAGCAGCTACTACGTGCCATCACAACAAGGCTGTAAATGTAAGCAGTTGGTCCCAATGGTTCTTAACTACTTTTAGTGGGAGATGGGGGCGTGGTTTACACACCTTTGAGAATGGTGAACTGCATCATCCTATGTGGTAGCCACTAGCCACATTTGGCTATTAAAATTAAAATTAATTACAATAAATACAATTAAAAATTCAGTTTCTCCTTTGCAGTAGCCACATTTCAAGTGCTCAATAGCCACATGTAGCTAATGGCTACTGTATAGAACTCAGATATAGATTTCCATCATTGTATAAGGTTCTAGTGGACAGCACCGCATGGATATTCTCCCCAAAATAAAGATTTTTCTGTTCACATGCAGTATTTTGCATCCAACTTTACAACTTATACAACTCTGCAGGGTCGGGTGGGGGTCAGGTGGGGGAGGCAGTGGTTCACTGATCCCTGAAGCCCTTGGATCCAAGAAAAAGAAGCCCTGATATGCCAAGCTATTTGAGGACTCCATCTCAGCATATAACAAGTTGGCAAAAATTGAGCAATGAAGCGGCTACAAATTCAGTATACTCACTGCTTTAAATGCACCTCGTATAAAACCAGACCCTTGGGTTACTGTCTGGCTGCATTCAAAGAAACATCAGTTTATTATCCAAAAATAATTGAAAAACAATGTTCAAGATTTTCAGCAGTCGCTTAAGAAAGCACAAAAGGGGAATAATATTCACAACACACTGAAACTCTTCTTGAATCGTCTTTCCCATCTTTCTCTTCTCATCCTCCCACACATGGCACTTGCTTCCCGAAAGCTCTCTGCATGCCCCTTCCAAACTCTCTCCAAACCTCCTAGTTCTGCTGCTGATTCTCTCTCCCTGCACAGCCCAGCCCCAGAATATTTTATTTTATAGTGGCACAAATATAGTGGCAAAGAAAGACAGAGAGAAAGCTCCCAGGGTGCTGTGACAAGGGACACATTCCGCAGCGACCCAGCCCACAGCTCTCCCTGCCAGCCTGGACCAGTTTGTCCGAGATGACTCATTTTCCCCCTGATGGTCTACTCCCCCATCACTTCCTCTTCTGCCCACTGCTCCCAAGGGCGAGGGTCCGGAAGAAGATCATGACTGAACTTGACAGAGAAGAAAACATTTTGCTGGGATGCCAGAGGGCACTGATGTCATAGGGAAAGGGAGGAAACCAGATGGGCAGGTTCACAGAATGTTTTATCTCCAGTGTTAATTTTTTTTTTTTTAATTGGGCATTGCCCTACTCCTTAGTAGGGAGTAAATGGCTTGCTGTGGGAAATGAATTAACTCTTTTAACAGTCTGTCAAGGTCAAAGCCTTCTTTTCAATCTGAAGACAAGCCCATGGGTGCCATTCTATCACCATATAAGGAATGATGAATTTTTTTTGAGTTCCTATATATTGCAAGTGAAATCTTCTCACTCTAGGAAGGGCAGTCCTATCCCACGTATCCGAGGATTCCAATGCCCATCCACCATCATTAGGTCATGCACCCCACCCCTACGCTGCATCTCTAATCCCTTCAGCTCTCTCTTCCTACTGAGAAGGTCTCATCGGAACATAACTCCTTAAAACCCTTCAGTGGCTACCCACTGCCCTCAGGAGACTCCAAACTTCATAACGTGGTCTACTAGGCCTTGCCAGCCCCAACCCCAGCTCCTCTGCCTACTTGAACTGCTAACCCCAGCCATACTGTAGGGCGATGGGAATTGTCCCCAGTCTTCCTTGCTGTCTTCTCTCTGGGCAATTGCTCATGCTATCCTTTTTGCCTGAAAAGGCCTCTCCTTCTTCCCTATGGGTAACTCCTACTGGTCTTTCAGGGCTGGACCTAAACATCTCCTCCTGGAAGCCTTCCTTATAATCTCTAAGACTGTTAGGTGGTCTCACAGCAGCTTATCTTTATCACAACTGTACTCTAAATGACTTTGTTTTTTTAAACATTGGCACCTGAGCTAACATCTCTTGTCAATCTTCTTTTTTTTCCCCTTCTCCTCAAAGCCCCCCAGTACATAGTTGTATATTCTGGTTGTAGGTCCCTCTGATTGTGCTATGTGGGATGCTGCCTCAGCGTGGCCTGATGAGCGGTGCCATGTCCACGCCCAGGATCCAAACTGGCAAAACCCTGGGCTGCACACGAACTTAACCACTTGGCCACGGAGCCGACCCCCTCTAAATGACTTTGAATAGCACCTTGAATATACACCTCGAGGAGAGAGTTGTATTACTACATGCCATAGGTCTCATACAGGGCCTAAATTATGGCATACACTGAATGATGCTGACTAACTAGGTAAGCAAAAGCTCAAAAGGGCGTCCCTGCCTAGGGTCTGTAGCCTTAGCAGAGAATGGAGTCCATGGGCCCCTTAAGCTTTAGGCCATAATTCTTGCCTTACTTGTGTTCTAACCTGCAAAGGTTAGTACCTGGGCTCACAGAAACAAAATCCACCTTTGGGGTTCCATGGATGACCATAATGCCTCCTAGCAACTTAGCTGTGTTCCTTCTAATCCAGGAAGACTGTACTTGCCACATGCCCACATCCTGGTACATTTCCTAGGGTGAGTATGAACTCCTTGAGTGATTACATTCTGCAAGAGTTTGCACAATACAAGCTGAATCACTACGATTTGAAAGCAGTCTTCCACCGAGTCCTGTTAGGTCACTTAGCTGACTCCACTTCTCTCTCCCTAGGAGACTACCCAACTGTCTCCAACAGCACCTTTTTTTTTTTGGTCTTTCCAGGCAATAATTACGTAGGAGTGGTAGGACTCAGAGAGTGGTGTTAACATACCTAAGCACATCCCCAAAATGAGGAGGCATCTGGACTTTAGGATGACTTTAAGATATGTAAGCTCCTATAAGGCTGTATATTTGGACTCCAGATCACATCTGGCCAGCTCTTTCCTGCTTGCCTTCTGCGGGCCGGCAAAGAACAAATAGAAGCTTCACATAATCCAGAATACAACAGATGGCTCTGTTTGTTTTATTTTAGAAATAATTTATTGTATTTTATTACAATTGTAAAAGTAGTACAAGCTGTTTACAATTTGATAAATACACAAAAGCATAAATAAAAATAAAAATATAGAAATTATTTCCATCAAGAGGTATCTCCACAAACATTTGGAAGGTTATTTTTTCCTATGCTTTTTTGTTAAAGGCAATGAATATTTATATATAAATTATATATTTATATATAATACATATTCTCTTGTACAGAACTAAACATTGCATAAAATTTTCTTTTGTTTTTTCCAGAATATAAAAATGAAACATAGTTGCAGTAACAATCTTTACAGAAATGTATGATATCTAAATTGAAAGTTCCCACAATTGTATTCCTTAGAGACAACTGGTGTCAATTAGTTTAACAGATTCCTTCAGAATATATACTACGTGTATATGTATATATTAAACATCATTTTAAATTCATTTTAATTCTAACTAAATTACCAAGACCTTAATAGGATTTAATAACTGTATAACATCCAATATTATTGCATGGACTATTCCTTTATTATCAGGAGTTTAATTCTTTTTAACTGCACAGAATGCAATGAACATACATAATTTATCATCAGAATTTCTTATTTTCTTATGGTAAAATCCTACAAGTGAAATTACTGGATCAAGAGGTATATGTATATTATCAGGTCCTGATGTACACCATCAATTTGCCTTCCAAAAAGGTGATACACTCAGTAGTTCTGTGTGGGTGCCCAATTTTTTTTTTTAAAGATTGGCACCTGAGCTAACAACTGTTGCCAATCTTTTTTTTTTTTTCCTTCTCTTCTTCTTCTCCCCAAAGCCCCTCAGTGCATAGTTGTAGATTCTAGTTGTGAGTGCCTCTGGTTGTGCTTTGTGGGATCCCACCTCAACATGGCCTGATGAGCAGTGCCATGTCCACTCCCAGGATCCAAACCAGCATAACCCTGGGCCTGCGAAGCAGAGCGCTGGAGCTTAACGACTCGGCCACAGGCCAGCCCCCCAATTTTTTTTTTCTTTTGAGGAAGATTAGCCTTGAGCTAACATCTGCCACCAATCCTCTTTTTGCTGAGGAAGATCGGCCCTGAGCTAACATCCGTGCCCATCTTCTTCCATTTTTTATATGTGGGACGTCTGCCACAGTGTGGCTTGATAAGTACTGCCATGTCCACACCCTGGATCCGAACCAGAGAACCCGGGCCGCCAAAGGAGAAGATGAGAACTTGACCGCTGTGCCACCGGGCCGGCCCCCTACTTTTTTATTTGTTTGGTTTTTTGCTTTTAAAAGGCTCAGAGGGGGTATAACTACAAATCAGCTGCCTTCAGATTAAATGTTCGGTTTTATTCCCCGGCTACCGCTGGCATTAATGGAGTTGGTTTTTCACAAGTTTCATACCCCCTCAACATTTTATTATGAAACTTCAAATATACAGAAAAGTCGAAAGAACAGTAAACCCACTGAATACACCCACCGTCTAGATTCTACAGTTAACATTCTGCTGTTACTTGCTTTCTCATCTATCTACCCGCCATCAATCTACAGAGCTTTCATCTTTAATATGAAAATCTTTTTAGCTCAAGACTCTGCTGAGGGATGGCCTCATTTTTGACCGTCCCCAGACTCAGTGCCCCGCACTATGGGAGGTAAATGTGCAAAGTGCCACGGTGGGAGTCGACCTGCTCTGAGCCCCTTAAAGACTCAGCACAGAGGCTGGGAGCATGGATGTGGTT